ACTCACACTCTCTCTCTCTCTCTCTATCTCTCTCTCTCTCTCTCTCTCTCTCTCTCTCTCTCTCTCTCTATATATATATATATAAATAAAAAAAAAAAAATCTCAAATATATATTTATATATATATATATATATATATATATATATATATATATATATATATATATATATATATATATATATATATATATATATATATATATATATATATATATATATATATATATATATATATATATATATATATATATATATATATATATATATATATATATATATATATATATATTATTAGATGAAGAGCGTAACTTTTAAAACTAATATATTCATGCAACTCAAATCATATTCATATAGATAAAAAATTTATCGATTCAGTTATCATAATCAATTTTCTTTTCACTCAAACATAAAAGAAAGATTGACTTATAACCAGAAAATGGTTATCATGTTAATCGCGATTCTCAAGTTAAGCGAAAACTCGTGTCATTATAAGATTTTACACTTTGTCATTTGATTTCACATAAATTATCAATATATTTAACATGCAATATTATAAATAATGTTGAAAAATATCATATTGTTAACAAGTAATAAAGTGGGCTCGTGAAAGTCGGGATATCGTAGCCACATGGAGCAAATTATTCTCTACTTGTAACTACCCAAATTATTACTACTTATTTTTATCCAAGCAACAAAATTGAGATTCAAATTATTAATTCTATGACTATGAAAATTAATAAATAACAAAAAGCAAATAACTGTCGGTCTCTAGCCTTGATCTTTTTTTTTTTTTTTTCTTTTTCCAGTTTCTTTTGTTAAGAAACAATATGGTAAAATTATTGTCTGAGACAGTAAAATTATTATTTGAGACAGTATTATTGCACTAGTAATATTACTGTCTCAGACAGTAAAATTATTGTCAGAGACAGTAATATCGCAGGTTGAGACAATAATCTCAGACTGTAAAATTACTGTATGAGATAGTAATATTGCATACTAAGACAATTATATTAACACAATAATATAAATATTAACACAGTAATATTACTAAAAATAGTTTTAAAAATGTATTAAAAAAAGGTCAACGCCAGAGATCGACGGTGACGGTCAAAATTGGGGTCAACGTTGATTAATTGGTAAACTTGTGACTAAATTTGGGTTTAAAGGATGAAATTGAGTTTGAAATAAGATTTCAAGGAGTTAAGAGTAATTCTTTTTTAATAAATAGTTATGGGTAATTTTGGTATATGTAATAGAGCTTTTCTTAGTTGCAAACGAAGTTGGACTAGTGGATATATTTGCAAGAAAGAAAATAGAATGCCCCTATTTTAATTAAATGTTCTTGTCATTTTTTTTTTTTTCAATTCCCCATATATTTAAACAAATGTTTAATAATATTTATATGACTAGTTTATATATTTACTTGTTCAATAATATTTCTATGACTATTTTGAAAGGAAGGAAAAAATTGGGTTTTTGCCCCAAACCCTTTAATTTTTGTATTTAATAACCTTAACGTCGTCATTATTTTAGTCATATTTTCTCCGAAATTCTTAACTGCTAATTAATCAAAAAATTATTGTACAGTGCTCATTATAATGAATTAATGTATGCAATATACAATTTTTTAAAAATTAACTTAGGGCCCCCCTAATTTCTCGGAAATTCTATTTCGACCCTTTTACCCAACAATTAGCGAGATCAAAAAGAAGTGTTTCAACAAAAGTTTGTAGTAACTATGAAACACATGCATGTACTAGGTTTCATCTAAACAGATACATGTACAATTTACAGACCAACTAAAATAATTGTCTGCATTTCATCTAAACAGATACATGTACTTTTATTTATGTGCGTATCTTTTCTTGCGTGTTATTTTGTGCATTTCATATTTAATAAGTAAAAAAAAAAGAAAAACATTGAACAAGTTTTACATAACCGCATCAACACTTGCATGATACAACAAAATACAACATGAAAACCATCGTGCATGTATTGTATTTGATCAACTTTACTTGTACATTATCAAACAAAGATACATAGTAGTAATAACAACAATTAAACAAGGGCAGAAAGGTCAAAAGAAAAAATGGGAGGGAAGAATAAAGCAGCACTACTAGTAGTTGCCTTGTTCCGCCGCATCATCATCGTCGCCGTCTTGGTCGTCGGAGGTGGTGGTGTCCGGTTCGTCACACATCGGGGTGGTGTAGTAGAACGAGCCGAGAACTTAGCTTACATTTTTTAGAAGTTCAATAATTGCTACATCACATTTGTATGATATGAAAATATTTGTAAAACTAATTAAAGAATTTAAATCTACTAGTTTTTAGCCAAACAGTGAATTTGATTTGAAATTCTTTGTATAAATCTTCATGTATCCAAATAGGTGACTTTAAATTGTATGGATTTGAAATCCAAGGTATTTCAAATCCATTCGTTTGAAATCCTCCAATCCAAATATGACCTAACATTATTACTAACTTACTAATTACTTACTTACGAATAAAAGCCTTCCAATGCTAATTAGAGCAACTCTAATGCTACTAGGCATACAAATTGAGTTATTAAATACTCATTTATATTTGAGATATTATTTAATGTTAATTTAAAATTCATCAACTCCAACCATGGTTATCAAATTAATCATGAATTGAATGGTTATGGATGGTTTTATTTATAATTGTTACACGTTAGTTTCTGAATAAATTTTTAGGAGATTACATCTTTTTGTAACTCAATTTCCGGCAAGTATACTTACATTCCATGAGGTGAATTATAAAAAATGAACCCTCATAACTTCATTAGAATTAATAATTCATATATTTTAATATATAGATGATGGTTTAAATATTTAAATACTCTATTTAATAACTCATTGGAGTTGCTCTTACTAACTTCTTTTGTCATTCAATATTTAAGTTTGAGATCACCTCAAACACACACACACACATTCAATATGCAATATTCATTCCGTCTTTTGTATTTTGATTAATAGTTTTATTTTTACGAAAAATATATATGTTTGCACTCAACACGTGACTAATTACCTCAAAAACCAGTGGTCACGTGACTTCCCCTAGTTTTGGCCGTCAACTCATCAACATGGAGGACTAAAGTGTGCAGTAATGATCAAACTTCAGGACGCAATTGGTAATACCATAAAGTATGTGGACTGAATGCACATTCTGGATATTATTATAGGATCACAAAACTGAAATTGCAATTTAGGATTGATCAGAACGAAACATATTAAAAAGAAAAATAGCTAAAAACTCAGTTGATTAGTAAATTCTTTCTAGGGTTTGTAAATTCCGATCCATCCTCCTTGATTAGTTTTCCATTAATTTTTTTCCAATCTCTCTTTTTCGTTCAGTTGATTTAATTTTAATTTTTTTGTTTCGATGAAAATGAAACGGTTCGAGGTCAATTAATCTGGGCTTGTAGTCACTGATATGAATTAATATGGTATGATGATTGTGTGGGTTATTTGATTTTGTCAGATATAGGGCGAATTCGATTATGTTGTCTTCATATATAATATTAAACAATCAGGATAGACAGTTGGTTTATTGAATAATTTTGAATTGCCTCTGTAATTGGCAGAGATGACCTAATTTGATGATTTTTGTGTTTTTGGGTCTTATTAAAATTGGCTGTAAGAAATTAATTAGGAGCTTTCGTTCTTCGTTTCCTGTTTTGTTTTTTGGCTCAACGTATGGAGATGTAAATTTCTTGGTATGAATTGCATTTATGTCGATAGGGGCTCTCTGGATTAACTCATTCCAAATCGAATATTTCTATTGCAACTCATCGTCTCCGCTTTGTGAAACTTCGTTCATACCTAAGTCGATTCAAAGTTCAAAAAAAATCTTAAATATCAACAAATCGATCAAATTTTGCGATTTACGATTTATGAAAAAAATAATTTATTATATTATTTATAATAAACTTGTGATAATTACATTTTTGTCCCTATATTATATACCATTTTTAATTTTGGTCCTTAAACCGGAAATGCCCACCAAGTGGAGGTCAATCTGTAATTTCAAAAAATTCACCTCCCTGGCTCAAACAGTTCTGAAAATTGCAGAATCACCCTTATACTTACTCCATCTTCCTATCCGCTCCACCCAAATTGCAATTTTTACCCCAAAAGTTGATCTCTCTTTCAATATCCAAAATATTCGCTACATTTACGAGAATTCGCAATGCCGAGCATAAAACCTTATGATTTACGATTAAAATCTTACGATTCAAGTCATTCATATCTATGTCAATTCAAATGTTAAAATAAATCTTAAATATCAACAAATCGATCAACTTTTACGATTTTTGGTCCCTATATTATATACCTATTTCGCATCGCACGCGCCGTCATTCAGATAGCCTTTAACGGAAGGAAGAAAAATTAACTCCTGATTAATCAGCTTTCGTTAACACAAAAACGAGTTTATATTTTGACAATCATTTGTGCACCAGCAAATTCCCTTGTTTCTAAGGGAGTGGACCCCACAACACCCTCCGTAGACAACTTCAAATCGTCACTTCCCATTGCCACATTCGACACAAATTTTGCCTAATCGTAAAAAAAAGATAATAAAATGCAACCTAAAAATCGATATATGAAAGTATGTCGAAAATACATAATACGATAAGTTCTTGTATTCACCCGAGGCACCGGCACCGCGCATTGCGCGGTGCTCTACACTAGTATATATATATATATATATATATATATATATATATATATATATATATATATATATATATATATATATATATATATATATATATATATATATATATATATATATATATATATATATATATATATATATATATATATACACATAAAAAAATACATATATATATATTTTTTTTTAAATATATATATATATATATATATATACATATATATATATATATATACATATATATATATATATATATATATATATATATATATACATATATATATATATATATACATATATATATATATATATATATATATATATATATATATATACATATATATATATATATATATATATATATATATATATATAAAAAA